CTATATGGTATATAGATCAGTGCCACACACTAGATTTGGGGTGTGTTTTGGTCTTTTAGAAGAAAGTGTCTCCCAAAATTTTAAAGAAAGAAAAACTTATATATGTACAAAAATAAGGGTTGATATGATGAAGGGATGGAAAATGACTGTAAAAATGGAAATTATAAAAAATTTTATAAAAGGAATTGATAAGAAGTTGTTTGAAAAAAGAAAGAGGATTTAAAAAAAGAAAAAAGAAAAAGAAAAAAAAAAAAGGGAGAGGATGTGATCAGGCAGGGGAATAGAGAACACCATATACTAGAGATTTAGGGTATATTTTAATCTGTTAGAAGAAACTATCTCAAAATTTTAAAGAGAGAACAACTTATATATATAAGCCAAAAATATGGGTAACTACTATGAAGGGATAGAATATGACTCTAAAAATGAAAAATAAAAATGTTTTTTTTTAAAAAAGGGATTGATAAGATGTTGTTTGAAAAAGGGAAAAAGAAAAATTCAAAAAGAAATAAAAAGACAAAAAGACAGTTAAAAAAAAAAATTAACTTTAAAAGACTAAGGAATCATGGTAAAAAAGCCGTGAATTCTATGTGCAGCATTCCCCTAGCGCTGGAGTTCTGCCGTTCTCATTGATCGGTAAACTTGGTCTTGGCTGCCTGTTCTCGCTGATCTTCTGGGGAGGGGCCTGTTGCCGTGGTTTCCAAATGTCTCTGCCGGAGGCGGAATAGCCCCGCCCTTGCCCCCTCCCGGCTAAGTTATCTGCTCGGGTTTGCTCTCCGGGGCTTTTGTTCCCTGCGAGCTTTCCGTACAGCTTTGGAGGCGGAGAGTGAAAATGGCGGCCTCCCAATCTCCGCCCCAGAGGAGCCGAGAACTCGGGCCCGCTCCTCAGTGAGCCCCCAGAGAAAAGCCGTCAGTCACTCCCGTCTCCCCGGTCTGCAGCTGCACTCCGTGCTCAACCGGCCTGTGACCACGCGTTTCTATCTCTGGCACCGGACCCGGTCTGGAGTCTCCAAACCCAGCAGATCCCTGCGGTGCACTCCCGCGCGGCTCCTCCCGGGGGAGGAAGGTGAGTCTCCCCGGATCGGCCGCTTGTTGGGTCCCTGCTGGAGGAGCAGGGGCCCGACTGGGCCGCGGATCGAGGTTAATGGCAACCCCAGCTGAGAGCCCGCGCCTGGGCTCCGCCTCTGCAGCCGGCTTCCCTGCTGCGTTACCTGGGAGCTCTGCTGCCCTCAGGCACCCCCGGTCTTTCTGTGACCCCGAGGGTCCTGAGACCACACTGTCCCGGAGGGTTCCACCCCCCGCTGAGCCACCAGAGTGACGTCCCTCGGCGGAGCAGACTTTCAAAAGTTCCGATTTTGTGCTCCGCGGCTCTATCACTTGCGGCCGACGGAGGCCCCTCCCCCGCCGTCTATCCTCCCGAATATCGCCTCGGATTCACTTCTCCGCACGTCCTACCTTCCAGAAAGTGGTCGCTTTTCTGCTGAGACAGTTGTTGCTCTTCTTTTCTTCGATCTCCTGTTGAGTTTGTAGGTGTTCAGAATGGTTTGATCCCTATCCAGCTGAATTCCTGAGAGGAGAGGAAATCCAGGTCTCCTACTCCTCCGCCATCTTCGTGCATCCTTTTATTTTGTGAATTTCTTGACCGTTTTTTATAGAAACACTCATTTTCACTGCTTTTGTGTTTCCTACCTTCATACTGTCAGTTTGGTCTTTCTGCTCAGAGAGTCCCCTTTAATATTTCTTGCAGGGCTGATTTAGTGGTCATGAACTCCTTTAGTTTTTGTTTGTCTGGGAAACTCTCTCTCCTGTATTCTGCATTATAGCCTTGCTGGTTAGAGTATTCTTGGCTGATTTTTCCCATCCAGCACTTTGAATATAGCATGTCATTCTCTTTTGGTTTGCAAAGTGTCTGGAAAAATCCACTGATAGCCTCATGGGGTTTCCATTGTATTTAACAGTCTTTTGCCTTGCTGCTTTTAAGAGTTTTAATTACAATATGTATGTCTTGGTATAGATCTGCTTTGTTGGGGGTTCTCTGTGGCTCCTGGATGTGGCTATTTCCTTCTCCAGATTAGGGAAGTTTTCAGCTATTTTGTCAAATAAGTTCTCTACCCCCTTTTCTCTCTCTTCTGTGATGCCTATAATATGAATATTATGTTTGATGGAGTCATTAAGTTCCCTAAATCTGTTCTTTGTATAATTCTTCCTGTGCTTTCTCCAGCCTGCTGTTCATTCCACCAAGCATATTTCTCATTTCATTTATTGAGTCCTTTATCTCTGCTGTGTTACAGGTCTCACTGATAACCTCTGCTCTTTTCTCAAGTCCTATGAGTATCCTTATGATTGTTGCTTTAAATTCTCTATCAGGCATGTTACTTGTATCTTTTTTGCTTAGATTTCCAGCCATGGCTTGTCCTTTTCTTTCATTTGGGACAAATTCTTGTGTCTTCTCATTTTGTCTAAGTTTCTATGCCTGTTTCTGTGTTAGGGAAGTCAGCTACATCTCCTATTCTTGAGGGTAATAGCTTTATGAAGTCCTATAGTATCCTGCAATGTAGTATCCCGGGAGTGTCTCCACAGCTCTGGCTGCTTTATCTTCAGGCCTGTTTGTTGTCTGCAGAGGCTCTCTTTGCCTTTTGTGGGCTGTGGCCCTGGCCTGAATGTGGTGTTTTTAACTAGAAATGAGACCTGTCACTGTTGCCACTGGAATTGAGGTCTCACAAAACTCCCAGGTTGGGAGATGGGGTGTTGCCAGGGGTTTGGGCTGGTCTTCTAGGGGATGGAACTTGCCACCCTACTGAGGCAAGCGGACTAGGAAAAGTAGTTCTTCCGGAGCTTGGGTAGGTGGGGCTTGGTGTAAGCAAGGTAGGTAGTGAGTATCGAGCTGTGCTGGTTCCTGCAGGTGGCTCTGTGCTTATGCTGAGGGGTAGGGGAGGGAAATGGCACCTGTCAGTTCCTTTGTTCCTGGAGGGGTCTTGCCCTGAATGCTGTCTCACTGAGACATGCTTAGAGCTAAGCAACTAACCTCCCTACTGTGTGCCCCAGGTGCTTTTAAGATGGCTGTTTCCACACTTTTCTTTTCTCCAAGAGCAGCCTCAGTGTCCTCCATGCTCTCTCAGAGCCAAGCACACTGACCTTTAAAACTCTAGGCTTTAAGCCCTGCTGGAATTTGGCCCCACTCCCATTCCAAGCCAATTGCTCTGGGAATTCATCTTGCCCTTTTTGACAACAGACAACTGTGGTTCCCTTCCCACCACAGTGGCCATGATCCATTTCTCTCCCAAGCTGTGTTTCTGTACTTTCTACCTTCTTCTCTACCTTTAATTGTGGAGTTTGTTCTGCCAGTCTTCAGGTCGATTTCTGGGGTATTTAGAAATGAGCCTAGAGTTCTCATATTCTGCCATATTCCCCTTTCCTGTGTGAATACTTCTGCTGCGTGGCTTTTATTGGTAAGTACCTAGAAGCTTAAAAAATAGTCTCACAGCAAACCATAAGAGACTATTAACTATAGAAAACAAACTGAGAATTGCTGGAGGGGAGGTGGGTGAGGTGATGGCATTAAGGAGGGCACGTGTTATAATGAGCACTGGGTGTTATATGCAACTGATGAATCACTGAACTCTGCCTCTGAAACTAATACACTGTATGTTAATTTAAAATAAAATTTAAAAAGTAGTCTCACAGTATAAAGAATGAGGTCATAGGACCAATTCCATCACACCCTTGAAGGCTAAAGAACAGAGCAAAGGGGTGCCTGGGTGGCTTGTTGGTTAAGCATCCGACTCTTGGCTTCAGCTCACATTGTGATCTTGGGGTTGTGAGATAGAGCCCTGCATCAGGCTCCACGCTGGGTGCAGAGTCTGCTCTCTAAAATCTTAAAAAAAAAAAAAAAAACAACAATGGAGCAAAATTGTTCAATTTTTCAGTGTTTTGAAAATGCCAACATATTTTAAAACAGCTGTATGCCTCTGTAGAATTTATCTCATGGATAGGCAGTGTACAGCATGTAAAAATAGAATGTTATTTACAGCTCCATTTTACTTTCTCTTTAATTCTATTTGAATGGGTGTTCAGGCATAGAATTATTTTTCTTACTTTGGACAACAGGATGTTTTAAACTGACAGCATATGTATATTATTTAAATTGTGTTAAATATATTTAGGCCCTTCCTTTAGGGATAAATTACTTTTCAGTATCCTATTCCCAAAAGAAGCTTATATTTGTCTGATATTTTTGATAAAGGAGGACACTTATAGACTGAGCCATAATTACATTTTAAGATTATGCCTTAAATCTGAGTATTTTAAAGACCTTGGTTACACTATTTGCTTTTCAGAATTATACCCAATTTAAATGCACAACATCTTCTAGAAATTATAAACAGTCGTGTACTAATATTAGAAGCAAACTAACCATCTGCACAGCTGCCTAGGTGCCATAAGGTGTGATTTCCAACTTTGGCTATGGCTCATTAAATAAATGCTCAAATTCTAACACACACTGTTTCACACTCTCTTGAGCCAGCAGTGAAACAGAGACTGACATAGACATTGAAAGATAACCATTTAGGAGGAAAACCAACATCTGAATGTGGAGGATTTGTTTTTCTCTTCTCCATTTCCATAGATCCCACCATCCCATTTGACATGCGAACTGAACCTGAGGTGAGGCAGTACTGAGGTCTCAGACTAGTCCTTACTAGTGCAGGCCCTGCCACTGGAGCTTGGTCTTCCTAAGGTGACCAGCCTTGATGCCTGAGAAAACAGAAAAGTAGAGGCCAGCAGAGTAGTGAGTGGCAGATTTCTTACCCAGTTTGATCGTTATGCTCTGTAGAGAAGTCTGATGCTATACGCAGGAGACACAAGAATAAAGCCTCTCCCAGAGTAATCCTCAAAACTTCCTGAATTTAAATAAATTCAGTAGTCTTTCTTTGAGACTAATGTACACAACAGTGTATTAAGTATTTAGAATTCATGATTGTAGTATAAAATCAAACCACTTACTTGAAATCTAGATGTTCAATTAGTACATATCCATCTGTAGAAACAAAAATCACTATTACTAATCTGAAAGTTAGAGAATGCTTGGAAATTCCTTTTTCTTTTTAACAGTGATTGAAATTTTATGGGTGATAAGCCAGTAACTTCTTACATTTGCCTTTGGAATTGCGACAAATCACTAGATTTTCTTCAGTGGTATCAATGACTTGCAGTTCTTCTCCAGGGGTTATTGGCAAATCGAATATTCCATTTCTTGCATTACTGGAACATGCCACTGCTGTGTTGATGACAGTAATCTCTTTGTCATACTGAAAGAAGAAATTACTAATCAGACTGTATGTGCAGTTTTTATTCTAACAAAATTAATGCAGGACATAATATAGTAACCTCAAACTCAAGATGCTAAATATTAAATAACATCTAAAGGAATAGAAAAATCGTAAAATGCCACAGTCTTACATTTAATTTGGTACAGTCCTATTTTCAAAGTGTTTTCACACCTCTTATCTAATTGTACTAGCATGAATTCCGGTGGATGAGATACCTGTAACATGGGTATAACTTAAGTTCCATGGATGTTAGGTTAGCTGTTCCAGTAGTAAGGTTACCACCAAACTTGGGAATGGAGAAGTTTAAAAAAGTAAGAGGGAAAGAGAAAAACCTCTTTGTGTGTAGTGCTTTAGAGTTCATAATGTTTTTACATACCTGGCAGTTCTAGATGGCACTCTTTCTACCCTTTCTCTCTGGGTGGGCTTATATATAAAGTAGTAGGTATGGAGGACAATTCCCACTCTCCTTCTGGGGTCAAAGACAGGCATTTGTGAAAAAAACTGATGAGAAATTCAACTTACGACCTTAAGGGAGGTTTTTTCCTGTGTGATAAACTAGCCAGCCTATATACATCTATAGGTATATCACCTTCTAATGTATTGATATGATGACTCAGAAAAAGTTCCAGAATACAAAGCTTATGTTTACAGACGTCTACTTAACTAAGTTAGGGTGGCCAGACATCTCCCTCTGCTCAGGACAGTCTGCTTATATCTAGTATCTCTACACATACTTAGAATTAGGATTAGGGATGCCTTCTTCCACTCTCAGAAGTTTGCTGAATTTGAATGATAAAGTGTATCACTCTATACCAAATGGGAGCTGATCCACAAGACAGATTTTTCTTTTGCCTAACAAAGTAATAACTTCCTCACTGATTTCTTACCATTTTCCAGGCCATTGTTCATTATGAATAGTGATTTCTTAAAATGAAAATCTAATCAGGTCACTTTCCTTTTTGTCAAATTCTAAAGATTCTTCATTGCTTTCATGATAAGATCCACATTTTTCAGCTTGACATTCAAGTTCCTTGGCATACTGTCATTTCCCATGCTCCTATTTCTGCCCCATTAATGAAGCCACATCAAGCTGAGTATGCCAGGTACCTTTTATACTTATAGGCCAATGCTCATTTGGTTTTCTCTGCCTGAAATACCTTTTACTCTTAACCACTTCTAATGAAGACTTCCACAACTGCAATGTATAATCTTCTGTTTAACTACACTTAGTATATACTATTACAGCATTTAATAACCATCTTAAAATGAAAATGGAAGACAGTTTTATTCAACCTTGTACTCTTAATGCCTAGCACAAATGAGGCACTAATCTTTTGTGATTTGAGCTGAATAAAAATTACTGATATGGCGTAGTTTTTCTAATGATATATAAGGAAAACACACCACAGGTAATAAGGAAGAATGGAATCATACACATGAGATAGGAGATAGTCACAAAGTGAGAAAAGCACTAAATGGAATGTAGGGTCATTTCAGCAAGTAATTGTTACACTGTTGTTTTTCAGTTAAACTAATAACATCACAGTTGCAGTAAATAATTTCATATCATGGCTTCTAGATATAATAACCCTAATCAGCTTTGGTCCAAAGCAGGAGTTATTAATGATTGTGAGGGATTTGTGTATATTCTTTTTTAGTTCAGTCCAAAAACATTTTTGGACATTTCCAAAGGTAATTTTATTCTGCTCTACACATGGATATAAAGATAAGATAACCCTGTCCTCCAAGAGCTGTTTAATTGGTGAACACATAATTACAATAATGTTAGTGCTCGTGATAAGCTCAGATTAGAGGTATATAGAAGAAGAGTAATTGCCTTCATGAGCAAGTGTGGGTCAGTCTTCTGGAGGAGAGGAGATGCCTTGACTGGGTGTTGTTAAGTGATCGAAAGCTAGTCAGATGGGGAAGAGTAGCAAGAGTATCACCAGATAGTTGGAGCAGACCAAGTACATGCCTAGAGGAAGGGAGTAGCAGGATGGGGACTGAAGAGGATGTTCATTGAAGGGACAGAATTGAGTAGTTTGTTGCCAAAGCCTGAAGTGCAAGGTGAAGAATGGCAGGAAATAAAATCTGAAAGACAAGGAGAAGTTATGACAGAAAGAGCTTTATATGTCATGTTAAGAAGCCTAATCTTTATCCATTTTGTTATGGGGAATAGTAGTGACTTGGAAAAATTTTGTGAGCAGGATGCCCACATTCTCTCTCTCAATCTAGTATCTGGGACCTGGGAGCTATTCAAAATGTTTCTTAATAAATTCTCATGGTGACAGTATATGAAATTACAAGGAAGGACTATTTGAACCTTGGAATTGAGGAAATACTCCATGGATTCATAATGACAGAAGAAGTCAAGGAGCTTCAGATACACTGCTTCCTTCATTCACTCATTTGTTTCATTTGTTTATCTAGTCATTCATTCACTCACCGAACACTGTGTGTCCAGATAGGTTGGGAGGTAAGGAGCAATCTTGAATGAGACAATCTCAGAGAGGACTTGAGTTTAGCTCAGAACACACACACAGGCTGTGTTATGACAGACCAGTGTTAGAACAGATATGTGTATAACAGATAGATAAAATGTGCTGAATAACTTTCCCAAGAAGAGTGGGTGACATTTGAACAGAGCCTTAAGAATAACTTAGGAGTTTTTCCAGGCAGAGGGGATAGCAAGTGTAAAGGCATGATAATATAGAAATGCATCAGGAAAAAACTGTATCAGCTATTTAGTCATGGATCCTATCCATCCCAGAGGCAGAGGTACAACACTCTTACAGGATCTTTAGTAATATTAAAAGCTAGGAATTTGTTTATAACTTGTACCTTCTGAGGAGAACATACCTTAAATTGTTCTCTAAAACGTTTTTCTTCTTTTTCTATTCTCATCTTTTCTAAGTTTTGCTTCGTGGTTCTGAAGAAATTTCTAGGAGATAAAGTGGCAAGAAATATGCAGGTCAGGTTAAATGTACCATAATAAAACTCTAAGTTCCCAAATCTATAAACTCATGCTACTTCAGGATAAATTCAGGTATAATTTTGTATGTATATATTTTTAAATAAAATCATAAATATATATATAATCCTATATTATGTGGGTATTTGTAGATGATTATATACATAACACATATTTCCAGTAGAGCACAGTGTCAGAACAGTTGAACAGGGTAATACCAATTGCTTTTTCCTATAATTAAAAAGGTTGTGGGGGCGCCTGGGTGGCTCAGTTAAACCTCTGCCTTCAGCTCCAGTCATGATCCCGGCGTCCCGGGATCAAGCCCCACATCCGGCTCCCTGTAAAACAGGGAGTCTGCTTCTCCCTCTCTCTACCCCTCCACCCCCCTGCTCGTGTTTTTTTTTTTTTCTCTCTCTCTCTCAAATAAATAAAGTCTTTAAAAAAAAATGAAAAGGTTGTGGGGTTTTTTTTTTTTTGATACCAAGATAATAATTTGGAATAAAATCAAATTGGTTAAGCAGTTTAAGTTAAAAAACTCCTCTGAATCAGGGTTCAAAGTATAATTAGCTTGTTAAAAAAAATCATAAATCTTTGTGCTTCAATCAGAGAACTGTTCTGTTTGCTGAATGGTTCTGGAGAAGAATGAAATTAAGAAAATAAAGTAAGATACCACAAAATAAGTGCAAAAATTGTCAGCACATAAAAGTTGATAGATAACCCTACAGCAGAGGCTGATTACACTCTTAATCCTCCCTTTTCCTCCCTCCTGCTCTTCACGTGGGGGTTGGTGCTGCTTTTTAGCAGTTTCATATATTGACAGAAGGAAAAAAGCAAGTCCTGTTAGTTTTATTCAGAAGTGTCTCCTACATCTTTTTCATTCTGTCCCAAGATTATAGCCACTGCCACATTTCACTTTTAACCTGAAATAACATCTTACTCTTGCCTCTCCTTCCTCAAATCCATCTGCATACTTGCCTCCCTAGTCATCTCTCTAAAATGTAATTGATGTCACGCTTTTGCTTAAAACCTTTAATTTGTCTCTAGTGCCCATAAGATAAAGTCAGATTCCTTAGTGTGGTACATAGGGTATTTTATAAGCTAGTCCCAGTCTACCTTTCCAGCTTCACTCTCTCTCTCACACACACACACCCACACACACACACACACACACACGTGTTAGAACATTAAGCATCTGCCTTCAGCTTAGGTCATGATCCCAGGGTCCCGGGAGTGTCAGAACAGGCAATTTCTATGCCTTTATACGTTTATATCCTTCCCCAACTTCTCTGAAAATTTGTCATCATCTTTGACTCATAAAGGGATCATAGAAGGGTTGAACTAATATAGAATGCATTTCTTATTGGTGGAACAAGTTATGGTAGAAACCATTTAAAAAGGAACAAAAAGCACTAGAAATTGATACATCAATCTACAGGAATATGATCGCCCCAATATCACATTTTAAAATTTACCATATTTTAAAATTTACTCAGTTGAAAGTAAAAGTAAACTATATTTGTTGTAAGAAAAAAAGCACTAGAAAATTGTTTCCTGAAAGTCTTACGTGTACATTAAAATACTAAACATTTTTTTGTGTGTGGAGTTGTGTCAAAAATTTCACTGATATTTTCTCTCTTGAAATTCTGTTTTGCTATGCTATGTAAAAGTATGAGGTTTAAGGTGGAGGGATGCTTTTCTAGTCTGTGAATACATCTTTTGAACTTGGGAAAAGTAAGTTACATCAAGTCTAATCCCAAAGAAAATAAGGTAATGGAAAGGGCCATCCTATGCCATCCTCTGTGTTTAAATATGGTATAGACAGATGTCTGCTTTCTTTTGGGGTTCCCCTTCAGGACTTTTCTAGTCAGGTTTCCTAGAGCAGACAGACCACACAGTGTTCCCAGCCCAGTGGCTGTTTAGACAAGGATTTCCCCAAGGCAACTGTTAAAAGTATCTCAAATCCTGTGCCCCGTCCTCCAGAGCACAGATCACATAGTAACCATCTGAGATAGTAAAAACATCACCTCCCCCAACAGCCAGCTGGGAACTTGAATCACAAGAATGAGGGTTTGATTATGAGTTGATAAAACATTCTTTTAAAATTATAACACTAATGTAGTCATAACTAGAATTGTATTTTAGGGAAATTAGTCTTGTTATGTGATCGTAGTTTCTCAACGTTTAAGTTCTAATTGGTGTATTATTTAAGTTCCCATCTATAGGGGAAAAGTTCTTACAGCCTAAAAGACCAAGTTTTTTCATCATTTGATAATGGCTGGCTTGAAATCTTTCCTTACTGCCTATTTTCCAAAGTCTGGGTGATGACAATGAAGAGAAATGTATGTGGTGCTTTACATTTTCATATTCTTTTTCTCTTTTAATCCTCTCAACTATATAGTGATGTAGGTGCCATTATTCTCATTTTATAGGTTAGGAACCTGACAATCAAATTTAATGACTTGCCTAAAGTCACACAGCTCTAAGAGGTATGAATTTCAGCAGATAAGTTGTAATTTAGGTATACCCGTGTACCTACCTTTCTGATTCTTCAGCACCTTTTCTCTCTTTTTTTTCCTTTGCCATAAAAAACTTGGGTTTCCAAGTTTTTAGTTTATCTTCCTCTCTGAGGAGAAAAGTATTTTGAGCAAGTAAATATTGAATTAAAACTTTTATGGAAACATCAGTACTTTCTGGACAATTAGGTTTTATAAAAAAATTAAAACATTGTCTAGAAGTATATTTGGATAATCTGTGTCAAGACCAGATTGTAAATATCTTAAGCTTTGCAAGCTATACCATCTTTGAGGTAATTAGTAAACTCTGTGGTTATGACTGTATTTACAAAAACAAGTGGCCATCTGTTTTGGCCCACAGGCCATAGTTTGCTGACCCCTGATGTGTGGTGATCCAAATTTGAAACCGGAAGCAAGAGATCAACCTGCTTATGATCACATTTCCCTGGAAGGGAAATGTTTCTTTGCCTCTAAAACATGAATAATATTAACCATTACCTTGAGACAAGACAAATCTCGTGTTTAGCACTAGTAGAAAAGGATGCAGGGAGGAGCTGGGGAAGATGGCAGAGTTGGAAGACCCTAAGCTCACCTCATCCCATGGATACAACTAGATAACATCCGCATCAGTGTAAATAACCCAGAACGTGATCTGAAGACTGGCAGAACAAACTTCATAGCTAAATGTAGAGAAAAGGCTATATTGAAGAGTGTAGGAAGGGCAGAGTCACTGTAGGGAGCCAAACAGACCCTTAGGACTATACACAGGAGGGGAGGATGCTATGGGCACGGAGAACAGAAAAGAAACAGACACCCCAGGCATAGGGAAGATGAACACCGCCCCCCGCCCCCAAACATTTGGCTTTGAAAACCAGAGGGGCCAAATTTCATGAGTTCTTACAATCAGTGGGACTTAACAACTGGAACTTTTAAAAATCAGCAGGCTCAAGTCTGGGAGAACCAAAAGGACTAGAGGAAGCTGAGTCCTTGCCCTTAAAGAGAAAGCACAACAAATAGCTCCAAGGAGATACAGCCTAGAAGCAGCAGTTTGAAAAACGCCTGGGGCATGCAGAAGGGAGAGTTGTTTATTGATACCAGAACAGGCACTGGAGGAACAGGGATTTTCTCCAGAAACAAAGGAGCCCGCAGGCACCATTTCCTCCCCTGCACCCCAGCCTTGACACCTATGGGAACCAGTGCTGTGAAGGCTCTCCACCTAGCTTGCTAATACCACTCACCTGCCCTCATGCACTTCTGTGGATCCACCCCCTCCAACCTCGCCTACCTGTCTGGAGGTTGCAGGTCCCCTCCCATAGCGCATTGGGGGGGAGACCTTACTGGCACTGCACCCACCCTTGTCTTCTATGAACCTGCCCCTCCAATATGCAGCCTGGCTGTGTGCAAGCAGCCCCAGCAGGGGCCAGCACCACTGCAAAGTGATAAGGGAAAATCATACACGGGGGGGGGGGGGGGGGGGGGGGGGGGGTCATACTGTGGCTCCAGCAGTGGCCTGGGGGCAGACATCTGGTCTGACTGCAGGACCCGCCCACCAATGAAAGCTTCTTAGGGGACAACGCAGGGAAACTGCCCTGCAGTTCAGTGCTACTGCATCTCTGGCAAATGCCTAGTCAAACCCAAGGCAGTTCCAGACTGGCCCACTAGTAACACAGGGACCAAACCCTGCCTACGACAGGTTAGAGAGCCATTGCAGATGACTGGACTGAAGGCCAATGTGGCTCAGCCACAACAGCAAGACACAAACAACACACATAGGAGAGACCCCAGAAGCACCAGGTTCTGGTGAACAGGGGACACAACACTGCAGGACACTATAGGACTTCCTCATAAAGCCCCTACTTTCAAAAACAGGAGATGTAGGTGACTTTTGTAACACATAAACACACAAAGAGTTAGACAACATAGGAGACAGAGGAATTGTCCAAAATGAAAGAACAGGACAAAGTCACAGCAACAGACCTAAGCAAAATGAAGATAAGTAATATGCATGATAGGGAATTTAAAGTAATGGTCATAAAGATACTGGTCTTGAGAAAAGAGTGGAAAACATCAGTGAGACCCTTTACAAAGAGACATAAAACAAAAAGTCAGAGATGAAGAACTCAATAACTGAAATTAAAAATACACTAGATGGAGGGGCACCTGGGTGGCTCAGTCGGTTAAGCGTCTGACTCTGGGTTTTGGCTTAGGTCATGATCTCATGGGTGGTGAGATGGAGCCCCACTTCAGCCTCTGTGCTCAGCGTGGAGTATACTTGAGATTCTGTCTCTGCCCCTCCCCTGGTTCATGCTTTCTCTCTCTCAAATAAATAAATAAAATCTTTAAAAAATACACTAGATGGAATAAAGGGTTGACTAGAGGAATCAGAATAACTGATCAGAGACCTGAAGGACAAAGTAATGAAAAGCAATTAAGCTGAATAGGAGAGAGAAAAAGAAAAATGAAAAGAGACTTAGGGAATTCAATGACACCCATTAGGTACATTAACATTCACTTTATAGGGATCCCAGAAGGAGAAGAGAAAGAAAAGGGGGTCGAAAATTTATTTGAAGAAATAATAAACTTCTGGAATCTGGGGAAGGAAACACATTCAGAGTCAGGAGATACAGCAAGTTCCCAACAAAATCACTCCAGGAGTTCCACACCAAGACACATATTGATTAAAATGGCAAAAAGTAGTGATGAGAGAATTTTAAAAGCAGCAAGAGAAAAAAAACGTTACATTCAAGTGAAACAACATAAGGCTATCAGCTGATTTTTCAGCAGAAATTTTGCAGGCCAGAAGGGAATGAGATGATATATTCAAAGTGCTGAAAGAAAAATAATAACAACAACAAACCAACAAAAAAACCCCAAAACCCTGCCACCGAGAATACTCTATCCAGCAAGGCTATCATTCAGAATAGAAGGAGAGATAAAGAATTTCCCAGACAAATAAAAGTTAAAGAAATTCATGACCATGAAACCAATTTTACAAGAAAGATTAAAGGAGATTCTTTGAGTGGAAAGGAAAGACCATAAGTAGGAGTAAGAAAAATAGGAAACACAAAAGCAGTAAAAATATCTATAAAAATCAGTCAAGGGATTCACAAAATAAGAGGATGTAAGGTATGACACCATATACCTAAAATGGGAGGAGGGAATAAAGAATGGGTTCAAACTTAAGCAACCATCAACTTAGAATAGACTGCTAGATGCAGAAGGTGTTATATATAAACCTAATGGTAACCATAAGTAAAAAAAGCCAGTAATAGATATGCAAAGAATAAAGAGAATCTAAGTATATCACTAAATAAAGCCAGCAAACTGTGAGAGAAGAGAGCAAGAGAAGAACAGAGAAAAACTACAAAAACAACCAAAAAACAAGTAACAAGATGATAATAAATATGTACCAATCAGAAATTACTTTGAATGTAAATGGACTAAACACTCGAATCAAAAGACACAGGGTGACAGAATGGATAAAATTGCAAGACCTGGCGCCCAGGTAAAGGTCAGTGTTGGGCGCAAAGAGCAACAAAAAGGCTTGCTGGTAAGGTTTAGTCTTGGTTCCCTCCTTGTGAACCCATGGAGAGTGACTTTTATCTGTGTTACTACGTGGGTCATAAGGGCAAATTCGGCCATGGGTTCCTGGAGTTTGAGTTCTGACCCGACAGGAGATTGAGATATGCCAACAACAGCAATTACAAAAATGATGTCATGATCAGAAAAGAGGCTTATGTACATAAAAGTGTAATGGAGGAACTGAAGAGAATAATTGATGACAGTGAAATTACCAAAGAGGATGATGCCTTGTGGCCTCCCTCTGACCGAGCGGGATGGCAGGAGCTTGAAATTGTCATTGGAGATGAACACATTTCTTTCACAACATCAAAAATTGGTTCTCTTATTGATGTCAATCAATCCAAGGATCCAGAAGGCTTATGAGTATTTTATTATCTTGTTCAGGACCTGAAGTGTTTGGTCTTCAGTCTTATTGGATTACATGTCAAGATTAAGCCAATCTAGATTGAAAATTGGTGTGAACATAAGGGTTGGGAGTACCTGTTTTTAATTACCATTATTGGGAAATTTTTGTGTTATCAGGGCAATATTTTGAGGGGATGGAAAAGCATTTATCATGCAAATGGAAGTGAAAAGAGAGCCAGGGTTGCAAGGCTTATATCAGAAAAAAATAGACTTTAAAACAAAAACTGTAACAAGAGACAAAGAAGGACACTATATACACTTAAAGGGGATGATTCAACAAGAAGATATAACAATTGTAAATATACATCCAACATGGGAGCACCCAAATACATGAAAAAGCTAATAACAAACATAAAGGAAGTAATTGATAGTAATACAATGGTAGGGGACATTAACACCCCACTTATATCAATGGACATATCATCTAAATAGAATCAACAAGGACTGTGGCTTTGAATGATACACTGGATCAGATGGATTTAGCAGATACATTCAGAACATTCCATCCTAAAACAGCAGAATACAATTCTTTTCATGTGCATATGGAACATTCTCTGGAATAGGTCGCATATTAGGCCACAAAACAAGTCTCAATAAACTAAAAAATATCAAAGTCATACCATGCATCTTTTCTGATGACACTATAAAACTAGAAATCAACTACAAGAAAAAATCTAAAAAGAACACAAGTACATGAAAGTTAAATAACATGCTACTAAATAATGAATGGGTCAACCAAGAAGTCAAAGAGGAAATCAAAAGATACATGGAGAGAAATGAAAATGAAAACACAACGGTCCCAAATCTTTGGGATGCAGCAAAAGCTGTTCTAAGAGGGAAGTTTATAGCAACACAGGCCTACCTCAAGAAGCAAAAATCTCAAACGACCCAACCTTACACCTAAAGGAGCTAGAAAAAGAATAAAGAAAACCCCAAACCAGTAGAAGGAAGGAAGGAAATAAGATTAGAGTAGATAAACAATATAAATTAAAAATAATAGAACAGATCAATGAAAAGATCAACAAAATTGATAAGACCTTCTAGCTAGACTCATAAAAAAAGAGAAATCAGAAATAAAAGAGGAGAAATAATAACAGACACCACAGAAATTCAAAGGATTTTA